AGTTGCCGGAGTTCATCACCGATCGACTTGATCCGCTGGCAGAAGACGGTGACCGGGGAGTCTCCTTGGGTGATGGTGCGGAGCTCGGTGTGGAGAGCGTTGATGCGGGCGTCAAAGTTGTCTTGAAACAACTGTTGAAGAGAGGCCCAAAGCTCGGCTGCGGTGGCGTCGTCGTTGGAGACAAGATTGAAGAGCTCGGTTGAGATCCGAGTATAAATCCATTGGATGATCGTGAGATTGTCCTTCACCCAACGAGGATTGGCAGGCTGCGGGACAGAGGATGGATGTATATGGTGGCGTAGACCGCAGCGACCAAGGTGGATGTGGAAGAGATGGCGCCAGTGGTAGTAATTGTGGGCAGCGAGATCAAGCGAGATGGGTATGAACGGCGCAACACCGGCAATTGTATCTGCTAGAGAGATTTGTGGCGGCGGAAGGGTGTATTGGTGGTGGGTAAGAGAACTAGGGTTGGAGGAGGAAGAAAAGACGGATGACGATCCGGCGGCGTTGAACTCAGCCGCGGTAAAGAGAGGCCGCGCCGGGAGAGGTGGAGGGGCCGGCGGAGAGGCCATGTCGAGGAGATAACCTAGGCGACGGATACCATGAAGATTATTGAATTCTGAATATGTATTAGGGCCTCGAAGGGCTGTTTATATAAGATACAAAACTTGGGGGCCAAGGATAGTAGAGATGGATTACAACTCGAACTACCAAATATACAAACCGAATATATACTCTAATAGCTCTCTCGCTCTTGCTCTCGTGCTCGTTTGCTTTGAGAAAAGTATGTTCTACCCCAGTTCAAACTGACGAGTTGCCACAGAGAGTTGGACGTTGACTTTTTCGAAAAAAAGAAAAAAGTACAATTTTTTTGAAGAAGTCCATGAAATTAGGCAAAAGAGTTTTCAGACCTAAGGAAACTTCACAAATTTTCGACACAACTTGGAAAAGTTCATAATTTTGAAAAATCTTCTCCAAAATGAAAAAAATAATCATGAATTTAATTTTTAACAAGATATAAAAAATACCTTGATTTTTGTTCAAAAAAAGTTTGTAATTTGAATTTGTTCACAAAATTTTGATTCATTTACAAAACTTGGGAAACATTCACAAATTTGAGAAAATTTCACGGATTTGAAAAGAGTTTTGAAAGTTGAAAAAAATTCACGAATTTCTGATGTTCACGAATTTGAGAAAAACGAACATAAAAAATTAAACAGAAAAGAAAAAATAAAATAAAATAAATAGAAAGCAAAAAGGAAAAATGAAAGAAAAAATATGAGAAACCAGCAACACCTATGCTGGGGAAAAACAGAAGAAAAACAGCTTGTAAAACTGCCAGTCAATCATGGGAAGGTTCCTGAAAAAAAAACAGTTTAAAAGAAGACCTGCATGGGCTGGCACATGTAGATACACATTGTTGTGGAGGGGTGTGCGCCGGTTTTCAAAAATTATTATAACCAGCACTTAAGGCGCCAAATAGGAGTTTGGGTCATCATACTCATATGCGGCTTCAGTTAGACTTTTGCGGTCTCTCCTATTGGCAGATCACCTGATGATTCATTAACATTGGCACACGAGGCCAAATTTTTGTACTCTTACATTATAACCAAAAGATTTTAGAAACGAAATCTGGGAGCAATGCTCCTTAAGTCGATTTTTTTCTATGTATCATTATTGCAAGATCATATTGCAAAAGTCATAGTTAAAATTTGCTCTTAATGGATCCAAGATAATCCTCGGTAGTACATTTTTCAGATATGGACGAGAGCAACATCGAAACGCACAAGTGTTCCTAGCACTGATATATAACTTCCCTGTGTGAGGATGTTGCTTGCCCTTCATTACCCACCCACTCATGTTTATTTTCCTTTATTATCTACCTCTACTCAATTTGTACAGAGCAGTTTGGCTATATATACTGCAGGATAGTCCACAACATAAATCAGTTGTTGCCAGTGATGTTTCTTTCCTTCTTTGGTTGGTCATTTAGTCTGAGCTGCACATTATCACCAACAACAGTGCTTTCGTAGTGTGTTACTTTTTGATACCATTGAAATCCGAACAACTAGCTAGCATGTAATGGCAACCGTAAAGAATTCTATGCATGCATGGACTTCCTTGACATGAGCGGCATCAGGAAGCGTTTGGCACGGGCTACTACATCGCCGTGTATATGTTCCATGGGGTCCACGTACTCTAATATATACATCGTTGGGCCAGCACGGCATGAAAATCAAGTAGAAGTAGCTAATGGTTCCAGCCTGGGGGTCGATTCTCCGAGTGCTGGCGTTTCATCGTTACGTTGGCGAAGACTCGTACATATTTGTTACCCATTGTGTGGCCAAACCACCCGTTTACGCTTAGCGTTGCAATGCCCGAGAGATCCGGCTAGACTACTATGATGGTGTGATGCACTCGTACATACATTTTGGGATAGTTCACTAGCAGGACCGACCTTTGCCCACCTTACAAAAGCATACCATTAATATGATCAAATCAGTAAGGAATTCCTGTTTTTAATAGAAAATGAGCTAAAAATTGATCACAAATACTCGCCTAGGGATGGTGTTTTGTATACAAGCCGCCTGGGTATAATTAACTAACCGCTGCCGCTCACTCTCTCTTCTTCCTCTCATCTCTTTGCGATCTTTCCCTCCGCCGCGCCCGCCATTTTCACTATGCAATCGACGGCCGCCGAACTTCTGGCGGCAACGATCATTGGCGGCGTTTGTGCCTGCCGGTCGGCGTGCACGTGCCTATCACTGCCCACGGCTGCGTGCTCTTGATCTGCCACATGTTGTGAGTTCAATCCGGCCGTCCTCTCATGTACTTAGTTAATTAGATTGATTAGTTAGGTTGATTAATTAGTGTTATATTTACATAATTTAAATTGATTATAGCTATATATATCTAGTTAATTAGATCGATTAGTATGTACACCTTGACTTTAATAATCACAACTTGAGTATGCAACTATTTAATTAATTAAAAATATGATGTGACTACACATTTCAAAATAGTTTTCCACAACTTGGGATTAATAATGATCTTACATATGCATGTGAACATGCACCAATTTGTTCTAAACGCAACAATGGATCTGGCGTGGCCTAGGTGTGACGATAGTAGGTTTACTAGGTGCAACATGGTGGTTGAATAGGGGCAAAGATGGATGACGACCAATCACTTCTCCATTGTGCTTTGCGAGGATTTCAAGTCAAAGACGGTATGTTAGAATAATAGAAAATTTCATAATCTGTTGGCTTTTTACTTGATATATAGTTGTGAATAAGAAATGTCTGATTCCCCCTCCCTTTTATTTTGTTAAGATCATCCCTTGCTTTGTGAGGATCGAGGTCCTTGAGATGCTACAAGTTCTAGTCGAGCAGCCAACCATAATTGAGTCCAACCTTCAAAGGGAAGAGCATTCGATTTCCCGGTTTTAATAAAAATAAAAACGATCAATGCTTTTTCAGTTGTTGTTGGTGGCGAAGATTGGCCAAGGCATACGAGCTAGATGTCGGGATGAGGATCAACATGTACATCATTGGTCAACAAAGATCTTCAAATGGGGCTGTGTTTGCAAACTATTTCAGTGCTACCTATGTGTAAGATTTTATGAAATATACAATTTCTTATGTGTTAACGCTTATTTTACCTGCCGTAACCATTTATCTTGATTACATGCAATTTGGACAGCTTATTTCAACTTGTGCCGTAAAACAAATAGGATAGTTGACACAAGGCATGTCATTGCAGCTTACTTCAACTTGTCCCACGAAACGTGTAATTTGACATCTTGCTTACATGTAATATGTATCTGAAGAATTTTTGGGCTGGTAATTACGGTTAGTTTTGTTGTTGGGACATTGAACCAAGGTACAAACTATACACGCATGCATGGGCGGAGCTAGCTATGTACACTCATTATTTAGGAAAGAAGAGCTCATAATTCAGAATAAACCTTATAATTAATGCCGCCTGCTACACGCCGGCCTAAAAGATCCACCACTTCGCGAGTTGTCGGATGTGACGCCATCATGCGGTAGAGCAGCGTCTTCCATTATTACAACAGAGCTCCTGTTGCATAAATCTTTACAACAGATGTCTTGGTCCAATTTTTTTGCAATACGGGTATTGTCTTGTTGCAGAAAAACTTTTGCAACAAAGGTATTGTTGCAGAACTTTTTTTACAACAAAGGCTATGTTGCAGTTTTTTCATCTTCATCTTACTGAAAAAACTTTTGCAACATAGATAATGTTGCAGAAAAATTCCCGCAACATACAAAAAAATTGCAATGAAGATGATGTCCCAGCATCTCCGGCGTCATTATCGTCGCCTTTTGCAACTCGGTCGTTGAAATTGCAATAGGGAGGCATCCGGTGATGGTCAGGAGCGACATGAAGAAGGTCGACTGTGACCGTGCCGAGCTCAGGTGATTTGCAGCCGATGACAGCCCCGTCGTGGCCAAAGGGCGTGGCGGAGGCGGCCGACGGCCGCCATCTCATTTGGTCGATCGGGTGTCCTCCATTCTCGCCGCAATGGCGTCCGCCCGGAGTTAATTGCACAAAACCACTACATTGGGGCATCGTTTGCAGAAAACCATGAGGTCACTAATTTTTTTTGCAAAAAACACCACACATTCAGTAAACTTTTTGCAAAAAGCACCAATCGAGTGATTTAGGTCGTTTAATCATTTTCTGACATGTGGGGACGGGTTGTTGGGAGCTGACATGGCAAAACATGTACATACACCCCTGGATCAAAAGGAAAAACGCAATCCAACCCAGTGGGTGGCGTCCCTCCTCCCTCCGATCCTGCAAGCCCCCGCCGCCTTGAGGCCTCCTCTGCCCGGCGCCTCCGGCAAGCTGATGCCCGCAACCAGCAGGCCCCTCGCTCGCCGTCGCCTGCCTCCATTTCTTCTCCTTTATTCTCTCTTGTTCTCTGCAGGAAGCCACCATGGATGGATGGAGCTCCACCGCGCCGCCTAGCTTGCCTACACGCTCACCTCCGACCACCTTCGCTCGCCGTCGTCTCGTTCCCGTCCAGATTCAATGTCCTGGTCAGCGAGGACAACGACGCTCGGAGCGCGAGACGGCGGCCCGTGGCCGCCTCCGTTTGCCGCCTGCAGGGCGCCTCCTGTGACGGCCTTGAGCGCCGCCGCGACGGCCTCAGGCAGAAGACGACGAACGAGGCACCCTCCCTCGTCCCGCACATTGCCGTTGGTGGAGTCCATCGAGGGCGCGTGCGCCATCTGGGAGCTCACTGTGGCACTGGCCAATGAGTCCTATTTGTAGCCCACGACTGCCACTGCCGCCCGGAGAACTTCTGGCTGCCGTCCCAGCATTGCCCCGGCTGCGTTGAGCTGTCCAAGGGCGTCGCCCCGCGTGCTACAGAGAAGGAGGTTCGCCGCCATCCCAGTGTTGCCCCGGCCTGTGGCTGGGGAAGGAGGAAGCGGTCTCAAGGGGAGCAAGGGGCTGATTGCTTTTGTTTTTTTTAATCTAAGGGTGTTTGTGTTATTATTTTGCCCAGCCAGCTTCTTACAGTTCGGCTCCACTTGTCAGAAAGTGATTAAACGGCTTAAATCCTCCGATCATCGGTTTCTGCAGAAAGATTATTGAGAACATGATTTTTTTGCAACGGATTAGTGACTTGATGGTTTTTTGCAAACGATGCTCCAAATGTTGTTGTTTTGTGCAATTAACTCCGTCCGCTCGCAAACAGCGCAGTCATGGCGTGGCGGCTCCATCGAGAAGAATACTGGGAGAAAAGGGGGACCGCGCAGCAACGCCACGCTAAGCGCAGGTTCTTGTGGTGGTTGAGATTGAGTCGCATCGCAATATTCATTTAGGCCTCTTCCAATGCATTGGTACTAAGGTGGGGTGCTAAAGGCATTAAAGAGCTTAGCAACCACTCTCCCCAATGCATCGGTGCTTAACATTTGTAGCTAAGCATTCCTTATTTAATATTTTAACATCAAAACACCTTCATGCATTGGTTAATACTCATTTTGCATAGGTCCACGCGCTTAGCATCGTTTCCTTCTGGAGTCACCATAAGGCTGGTCATAGTGGGGAGTAACTTATACTATAGTGTCATGCATATGATACTAGTCTAAGTTACTATCTTCATAGTGCAAAGTAACATACTAGTAGTGTCATATGTGGCTTCATTTAATGGCTTATAGACTCATCTTATCTTGGGAAGCGCTATGTTACAGTAACATATTATGTTACCACTTCTCATTAATTACATGCCACATAAGCAAAAAAAAAATTAAAATGCGTTATGTTACTACCTAAGTTACTCCATCCCAAGACAAGTTTGCTTATGTGTCACATAGTTAATGAGGAGGGAGGTGTTTGGAGTAACATATTATGTTACCATCACATAGCGCTTCCTAAGAAATATTGAGTGTATAAGCTAATAAATACAACCATATATGATACTACTTCTATGACACTTTGCACTATGAAGATAGTAATATAGACCAGTGTCATATGTATGACACTAGTCTAAGTTACTCCCCACTATGACCAGCCTAATACTATCTTTCTTTTTTAACTACTCTACCACATCACTTTTTTTGCCTATGTGACACCCTTAGCACCGGTATACCTTGGAGCACTGGGAAGGGTTAGTGGCGTTGATGCTATGGCGGCTGTAGCAGAAGGCTGTGTTGTTGCGGCTGTGGCAGAGGAGAGAGAATAAGAGAAGATAGAGAGAATTCCTTATTTGACATTCTCTTAAAATTGTGTTCCTTATTTGACATTGGAGAAAATTTTCTTCCTTATATGATCTTTAGTCTTAATTTTTTTTCCCTATATGACACTCTAGTGCATTTTGTTCACGTGAAAAGACCATTTTACCTATATGTATAATGTGACCACAAATATGTACAAGATAATAGTTGTTCAAAAAAAATCAGTCGAGTTATCCATATGTAACATCATATATGCTGGTATTGTCATGCCAGTCAATTTGCTACTGTTCCGGTTAGATTGTATACCTGCAGTAGCATATCTGTGGAAATGATCCATGCTACATTTTGTTAAATATGGAAGCACGCCAGCATGCATCATCATGCAACTGTGCAATACGAGGAGCACCGTACGTATGTAGGTGCGTACGTGCACCGTACGTATGTAGTTGCGTACGAGGAGCACCGAGGCCTTCGAAGGTTCATGTGCTAATTGACTTCACGGTCTGGCTAGTTGTCTATACGTATTTGTGTACATATACGTGGCCAGCTTGCCGGCCAGAGCATAGATATTTAAATACGTACGCGCACCCTGACGATCAAGTGAATACATGTATTCTAGCTTCGTATGACCCGATTCATATACATACGCATGTTGGCTGCACCGAACCGAGCGTACGTTCATGCTAGCACGCAACTTCCTTCCATACAGCTATAGGTCTTGCATGGGCCATGCAAATACGTGCAGATGCACTAATGGCATGCACGTAGGTGATCACCGAAGCACACATAAAAGTGCTTAAAAAATTCATTCATTTTTAAGAATGCATTTTAGTGTTAAAGCACACGTACAAAACTACGTCAAACAGTCGCACTCACAAACCATACCACATAAAACTAGACCCACAGCTGAATACGTTCTAAATACATTGGATGCATGCGCTCAGGTAAATACACACGCATCCCAAAAAAGACCAACGGAGGAGATAACATGTTCAGCTGTGCTCACTATGAATTTTCCCTAATTAGGCTCAATGCTACATATTTCTGGTCACATAATGTACAGGGGCAAAAAGATCTTTTCACGTGTATAAAATGAACTAGAGTGTCATATAGGAAAAGAAATTAAGACTATAGGTTATATAGGGAAGAAATTTTTTTCAGTGTCAAATAAGGAACATGATTTTAAGGGAGTGTGAATTCTCTCGAGAAGATAAGGATTGGTTGTTTCGGAAGAAGTGAGGAAGTGAAGATGCGCATCGATCCATGGCCACGTGGCGAGCAGAGGAGTATGATACTTGTTCTTATCTGCCGGGACCTCGTTATCTCCCTTGCTGCAGCTGCCATCTGCGTTGGACGTGATGGCGGTGGACCGGGCACCGAAGGTGCTTGGGCATGCAGGTGGATCACGGCGGTGTCCCCGTAAGGCAGTTGGGGTGGTTCTTGTGGGGAGATCGAGCGCGACAGTAAGGGCGGCACACACTTCTGCGAGATTTTCATGCCATTCTTGCACAAGGGTGTATATCAGAGTACGCGGACCCCATGAACACATAGACAACGGCCAAGCACCACATGCCAAGCGCTTCCTGATGCCGCTCATTTCAAGGAAGTCCATGCGTGCATAGCATTCTTTGCCGTGCCATTACATGCTAGCTAGTTGTTTGGATTTGAACGGTGTAAAATAGTAAGACACTACAAGAGCAATACGGTTGCAGCTGGATCAGACCGAATGACCAACCAAAGGACCAAAGGAGGACACAAATTTCACTAGCAACAATCGATGTATGTTGTGGACTATCCCGTGGTATATATAGCTAGCCTAGCTGGGCAGGAGTTATAAGTGAGAGATCTTTATAAGTGACTACGTACATTGCAGTTCATCCATACTTCAGTAGAGCAAGCTATAGTAAACTGCCCTGTACGAATTGAGTAGAGGTAGATAAATAAAGGAAAATAAACATAAGTGGGTGGGCAATGAGGGTGAAGCAGAGTCCTTACAAGATGGTCACATGGGGAGTTATAAATTACTCTGGGACGCTTGCGTGTTTCCATGTTGCTCTGGTGCGTACTGGAAAATGAACTACCGGTCTTAGATCAATTAAGAGCAAATTTATTACTATAACTTTCCCAATATGATCTAGCAATAATAATACACATAAACTTTTTTTCAACCTAAGGAGCATTGCTCCCAATTTTCATTCCAAAAACTTATGGTAAACAATATACATAAATATGGGCTTTTTGGCTTTTTTCGGTTTTTTTTGCTTTTTGGTTTTTCACCGGTCTTTCTTTGCTTTTGGACAATTTTTTAATTTTGCGCGAAAAAACGCATTTTTTTTGCTTCCACGAGAAACACGGTCTTACTTCCGACTTTCTGAGAGAAGCACGATTTGCTTTCGCGAGAGGCACGGCCATGCCTCTTGAAAACAAAAAAACATGATTTTTTCCTTCTGCGAGAGGCACGGTTTTCCTTCCACGAGAGGCACGGCCTAACTCACAGGAATGAAAAAGAATCTTTTTTTTGTCATCCGTGGGAGACACGGTTTTGCTTCCACGAGAGGTACGGATTTATTTCCACGAGAGGCACGACTGTGTCTCTCGGAAACAAAAAAAATGTTTTCTCTTTCTTTTTTCTTCCGTGAGGGCACGGTTTTGCTTTCACGAGAGGCACGGCCGTGCCTCTCGAAAATGAAAAAAAATGCACAATTTTGCTTCCGTGAGAGCCACGACCGTGCCTTTCCGAAAACAACGCCCGTTCTATTTTTTCCTTCCTCGAGAGGCACGTTTTTTGTCCGGTTTTTCGTGAAAAAGAAGTTTATCAAAACCTATCAACATGGTATCTAGCTTTGAAGATTTTGACGCGAGTAATCCAACAGTGAAAATGGTTTGAGATCTCGACGCACGGTTTAAGAGATCAAACGTTTTGAATAAATAGATCTATGAAAAAAGAGAAAACTCCGAGGTTGCGACAGAGGTACATGTAGGACGCCACTTGTCGGAACCTAGGGAGGTGAAAGTGATCTTTGAAAGGAGTACACTGATTGCTCTTTGGTAGAAAGTTTAACTGTTCACATCTGTGGGCTCAAAATTTCAATTCGGAACCTGTCGTGTCCTCTTAAACTATGTAATCTCATTGCTACTCTACATCTATACAAAAAATTAATGCATAGGTGCAAGTCACAATACATAACCATGTAAAATCCTACATTATGTACAAAAACACTCTACCCCAATTTTGTGTTAGTCTTACTCGCGGGGAGATTACCATGAACTTATTTGTGAAGAATCACTAAGCAGTATCAATTTTAACCAAAAAATTGGTTTCATATAGTGAATTTCAAGGAGACACAACTAAATGATAGTATAAGGCAACATATTATCCTTGATCACTGTTGACCATTGTTGTGTTTTTTGGTCAATCATCAAACTTTGGACGTTCTAGACAAGGTTACACTTTGGTTCATCTTGTACTATCGAAACATCCTTGTTTAATACGTTGGTATCCTTGACACTATCACTGATGGGCTGATAGACACCATACCTTGCAATATTGCTAATGATTTATGGCTCCATGTCACTAAGTGCTCCAATATAGTAAATGGATGCAAGGATGGAAGTCATGCCTCTTTTCCTCATACCGCCGATTCCAAGATTACTTACGGTGAAAAAACGATGTCGTTTGAGTGTATCATGCATGCACGAGCACCAACGCTTACTCAAAGGTTCAACAACACATGTAAATCTATCTAACAAGATATATATGGGAGAGATCAAGGATATGTGTAGTAGCTATTGCCTTATCACTTCGCGTACTATATGAAACTTACAGTCTATACATTGTATTCCTTATAGATGACGCCCGTGTATGTCTCCTTGCTGAATCTATTTACCATTGCTCTCGCAAAAGGGGAATCAGGGAAGAAGGCGCGACTGAATGCACATGATGAGGATGCATATTATGGACACAAATATGAATCGAGAGCAGCACAAGAGGAGTAAATACGAGTTGGTTGATGATATGAAATGACCTGCACTCATAAAGTCAATGGAACTCCAATGGCATGTGCATAAAGTAATGTCGCACACATCTATTTTAAACATTACACAGAAGTTTGCAGATGTGCACCATTCGCATGCAAGTACTGATGAGCAAATTATACACGATTTTGCCCTCCATCTTTCGTTGTAAAGATCAAGTTGACGCACAATCTTCAGATTTTTTAATAGAAAAAAGAACTGTTTATGTTTAATTTGTTATCATGACACACATATTCCCTGTTTTCGTTCAGTTTAAAATTACTAGAAGTGGTTCTTACACCGAAACCACCCGCGGTAGGAAGTATTGGAGGGAGTTTTAAAACTACATCCGATAGTATGAGGTATTAGTGACATTTGCCTACAAATGGAAGGCAAATCTGCCGATTGGCAATATCCGCGAAGGCGAGAACCACCTCCAAAGCAATATTCTGTACTAGTGAGGTATTGTTCTAGAATTATTCCAGTCACAAAATTGTTATAGTAGATTTATGTGGAAAACCTTCTCCCGTACCATAACTATTTTATTTCACAAATGCGAAGTTAGAAATAGTGGTTGTCAAACATATTTCCCCAAAATCCAAGTCATCTTCCTATAGGAACGTACGTAAAAGGAATGGAGGTGGTATAGTATAATACATGCAACCAAAATGGATTTATTAAACTGTAAATATATCTAGCTTTTCTTTTTTTCCCTGTACATAATTTTTTATATTAAATTTATAAAAATTCTGTGCGAAGAAATTCCACAGTTGGGGGTCAAAAAGAATAGTTCATCACATCGTATGATATTCTTTCTTTTTTTGCGGTTTTTTTTCAGTACTAAGAAAATATTATGATAAATACCAATAAAGTACATTTTTTGTGAAATAATAAAGTACAATTATTCCCAATATGTAAATAATAATGAATGACAAACAAATTCCAATACTATAAAGCGTGCCACATAATTATTGTTTACCCGTTTTACTGTTCCTAGACCAAAATCTCATACAACCACATTGTACCGCCATACAAAGAAGCCACTAGTATTAATATATTATTACGATAAGCTTAACCAAATCATTTTAACTGTCCGTCATGACAACCGGGAAGTACACAAGCTAAACAGTAAGTAAATGATCAATGTTGGAAGATAACATAGATATGCCCGTGTTCTAATTGCTGACGCACTGTATATGAATATCATACATATCACGAGCAGGGCACAGTATCACGAGCCAGGATCGATCAGAATGATCCTACGGAGCATATCATAAGGTATGTAATGCTTAGTCTTCTTTCACTCAATTTTCTCCTTCATTTCTCAACATTCTTTTCCGACACCATCTTCAGCTATCCATTGAGTAAATTAAGTGAAAAATAAGGTATATACATCCACGCTAAACTGTCAGTTTTTTAATTTAAAAAATGTAATGGCGTCATGTGGGGAACAACAAGTATACCTTTGCTTGGCCTGCCTTGTGGCGTCTGAAGGCCTACAGCCAAAACAAATAGTAGTGTTTAATTTTCTGCAAAAGAGAGCTTAACTGATTGCAAATTGAGAAGTTTGTGCAGGTAACAAGAAGCATACGTTATTTGTCCCGTACAGATAATCGCAATACGTGAACACAGTTGCAAAGTTGCTCTGGCAGTTCCCTCCCAAGTAGTGGTGGTAGTCGTGGAACTCTGCTCCTCCCCAGAACGGGATAAGCTTTGTCGGGTTGAACGGGAAGTTGTACCTGAATTTGGAAATAAGAATCCATTTATATATACTCCATAGAGAACATATTCTCTTACTGAAAAGTGCTTCTCTTCCAGCATGAAAAGAGTATATATTACCCGCAGTGGGTCTCGATGGCCGAAATAGCCACTATCACAAACCAGATGCCGAAGGTGATCATGTGGCAAGGCGCGATCACCGGGCCGACGACGGTGGGGACGGTGAGGATGAGCACCTCGGTCCAGTGCATGTATGGCGCGACGAAGCCGTTGGGTGCAGTGTACTCATGGTGGACGTGGTGGATGTTGTCGTAGCACCACTTGGTGTGCATCAGCCGGTGGGCCCAGTAGCTGAGATAGTCCTCCACAAGCAGGTACATGAGCAGCTGCGCCGCCATCTCCCCCGCCGACGGCAGCGGCAGCCCCATCCGGATCCCCAACATCTGATGACATGAGGCGCACACCAATCAACGTCTAACTCGCAGAGTCAAAGTGACAGTAGACAGCACTGTACCAGGAGCTCCACAAAATGATAGTGTGTACAAACCTTGACCGCAGGATAGGACAGCAGCTGGACAGGGGCGGCGAGGGGGAGCAAGAAGCGCGCGGTGTCCGTGTAGCAGCGGAGGAAGCCGGCCGGCGACAGCCGCGCGCCCCGGGGCTGCAGCTTGTACCGCAGGGCGACGGCCGGCGCGCCGAGCTCGAGAAGCGCGAGCATGAGCGGCAGCAGGGTGTAGACGGCAAGGAGGACGGCGACAGTGTGGTAGTAAAGGTAGTAGTCCGCCTTCGCCGCCGTGTACCGGAACCACGCTGCCTCGGCGCGCGTCATGGCGCGCCTCAGCGCCGCCTCCGCGTCGGACGCCGTTGCGTAAGGGAGCATCGCCGGTCGCGGATGTGCAGCTAGGCTGTTTGTTTCTTCGCAGTCGCGGACGTGCAGCTAGCTACTGCTCTGTGCGCGACTGGAACGGTCGACCGATGGGTTTTTGAAGAGGCTGTTTGTCTATCTGACTTGTGGGCCAGCACTACGAGGGGGGTGGGTGCTGCCTTTTTTTTGCGAATCAAGGGAGCGTGTGCTGGCTGCATCGTGCTGATTCATATTTTCACGGGCATGGTAAATCGTTTAACTTTACTACATAATATTTCTTTTGGCGAAAAGGCCTAGGCCATATATTAAGCTTAAAGGGACCTTACAAACACACCCCTGCCGATTTTTTTTTTTACACTTAGAGCTTTGAGGGTGCCCAAGTCTTTTTCCTCATGCAAACCTCTGGGCCTCTACCTTGGGATGGCAAACTTTATAAAATCGAGTAGCTTGTAGAAGCATGAGCCGAAAAGTCATCGATGTATGCCAGGAGACGTCGGCGGCCATGAAATGAGAACAACAATAAAGGTCTGTAGAAACTCCAGATTCAGTCATGTCTCCGGTTGGAAGACTTGCTTGTGTGTTTGGAACTTTGGATTCTCTGTTTACATTAATGCCTATTAACTAGCTAGGCAAGGATGTATAGCTATGGCAAGGACTTTGTGCTCCGTCTATGAGCTGTACTTCATATTACAGACTTTGTTTTTTGTTGCACTTGCTTAATAATATGGCCGCATGCATCTTTCGGATGCAGAGGCCGAGGGATGACCTTCTTTTCTAAAAAAAATCCTCCTAGGACATACTATATTTTTAAGTTCGATCGACTCAATGAAAAATACACCAACATCTATTTGATGCTATAGACATCAATTTTGCTAATCCTCACTTGCCTGAAATTTTCTTTCGCATCAATTGAATTAGTGCGAAGCCGTGAGGCCAAAGACGACATCTTCACGGGGACACCAATGAGACCTCGACCAGGAATGATCCGGATTAATCGCCGATGTGGTGGCATCGTGGATGGAGGCCAATCTGAGGGTTGACTTGTTCGAGTACGTAGGAGGGTGCGGCCTCGCCAGAATTGGTACCAAAAGAGGTTTACGGGGAAGGCTAGGGGATGGTGGCGAGGCGCGAGGGGAGGGGGAGCAGTTGGTCCGGATGGTGTTACATGGGGGAGGAAGAAGAACATTGACTGTTGGAGGAGGAAGATGGAGTATGGGCCATTGGATTATGATCCAACGGTCGAGATGCAAAGACGGAAACCGATTGGTGTTTTTTAAAAAAAATTAAAGTTTGACTTAGGCCCTTCCCAGTGCTCCACGGTGTACAGGTGCTAAGGATGTCACATAGGCAAGAAAGTGATGCGGCAAAGCAATTAAAGAGGAGAGAGAACATTATGGTAATCCCAAGAGGAAACGGTGCTAAGTGCGTGGATCAATGCAAAATGACTTTCAACCAATAGATGATGGAGTTTAATTCTTAAAGAGTTCAATGAGAGAAGCTTAGCTACAAAAGCTAAGCACCTAGCACGATTGCTAAGGTTTTTAATGCACTTAGCACCTCATATAAGCAACAATGCATTGAAAGTAGGCTTAGGAGTTAGGACAAACCTAAAATTTTGAGTAATTTGAAACTGACGGAAACTTAGGTGTTCGTATCCATTTGATGCAAAATCACGAGTCAACGAACATGGTCATTCCTCGCAAAAAAAAAACGAACAAGGTCATTAATAAGAGAAAGAGTCAGGATTCTATTATCAGTGGTTAGAGGCGGGATCTAATCTTACTTGCCATGTATATGGATGTGGGGCAAGTTCAGTTGTGAGAAAGCCAGAGAGGGTAGAGATAACGCAAGAAGAACCAGGAAGCACCGCGGCAGGCGCTCGAGCCCGACGGCGTCGTAGATGCCGCGGCCCACCACCATCTCTGCCATGGACCGCCTGAAGTCGGCCCAAGGGTCGTCCGTGCGCTTCACCACCGCGAAGCTTCAGGTCACAACCGCCTCCGCCGCAGCCGCCGGAGCTCCCGCTCACCCCCGACGAGGTCTCCGTTGTCGTGGATGTCACGAGCGTCGTCTCCGCCTCGCAACCGTCGACGCTGCGGATGTTGTACGCGCTCGGCTCCTTGTTGCAGCTGAACCACCCGCTATCGCCGGACGACAAGGTCTGTATGGCCACGAGGCGAGGCGTGTTGTCACCGTCGGTGGCGGCCTCAATGACGGGAGGGATCCCGCACCCACGCGCACAGATGGAGGCAGTAGCAGCAGCGAGCTCGCCCCGTGCTAGAGCAGTGAACCCACCGCTCCTACGCGCGCTGGAGCTGGGAGGCGGGGACGGGGGAACGGCATGCGGCGGCGGCCAGTGGGGGCAAGCGGGGCAGAGTGATTCAATCGCTGGTTTGTGGGACCAGGGCGGGCACCAGGCGGACGACAAGAGCGACGGGAGTGTCCGTGTGTGCCCGGATTGCCTCATTTGTGGCCCAAATTTGCTCCGCGTTTGGGGTTAGAATGGATAAAAAACGGACGTCTGCGTGCCACTTTGTACATTTGAGTATGCCCGTTAGGCCGTGTTTTGCCTCAAACGGGCGAAACCGAAGGATTTGGGGTCTAGGGTTGGACTTGACGTGATCCAACAAATGCCAGTCCGTAGCATTGCGGTGAAGAATCCTTTGTCAGCTTCGAGATGGTAGGACCACGCCGTTGTACCATCGCCTGTCACCGAAGGGGGCACCCTGCTCCATAAAAGGAGCTGACAAACAATATTTGGATGGTAGAAAGCTCACCAGCACACCAAAGATATTTGGAATTCCTCTAACAATATATTTGCAAACCAGACCACATAAGAGACTCCAAGCATGATCACCGACGCACGCCACCCTACACCAACAACACGGCTTCCACGTCCGAGAACCACACCACGCCAACCCGCTGAGAAGGATCAAGGACCCTAGAAGGGCCTCTTCAAGAAGGAAAGAACGTTGCCACTACCCAAACCGAAAGGACGGCCCAAGGGTTTTTACCCGAAGCTGGAGGTGGAGATGCGCAGGCCACGGAGACGTCTTCAAAGAAGGAACGACGTTCACGAGCATTGCCCTCACAGCATCGACACTATCGAGCATGGATTTCACTCGACCACATACCACTTACAACCTAAAGACCCACCAGTCGCAGCACATCAGAGTGAGTCGATGAAGACGAGGTCGAAATCTGGACAGGAGCGTCAAGACACCAACACCCGTCCCATGAACACCTCCCATGCCTCCCACCCCGCCGTGCGCTACTCCGGCGCCGGCGTCCACCGCGCTTCCGCGCTCCCGCCTCGCGCCACTCAGGCCGTTGCGGCCACCACCACCTCCTCCCCCTCGCAGCGTGCGGCGGTGGCCATGGGTTCTAGTCCCAGATCTGTTTCTTCGTCGGTCAGGCTGGAGGACGAGCGCCCCGTCGTTTCTGGTCTCGGGCTGTCGGAGGGGTCGGGAGATTCGGAGGCCCGTGACCTCCAAGCGGTGGACTCGGAGCTGCGTCCGGCTGCGACGGCGGGGGCGGGATGGGTGCGGCCGCCACCGACTAAGAAGGAGATGTGGCGGATGCGGCACGGTCTGGATGCCCAGGCTGGTGCTTCTGGAGCTCGCGATGGCAGGGCCTCGCCGCCGCATCAGGATGTGCTTCGTGGTGGCCGGACCTCGCCGCCGCGCCAGGAGGTAATCCCGGAGATGAAAGACAAGTGCTTCCGGTGCCTCGAGAAGGGCCACTTCAGGCGCGACTGCACCAACCTGGAAGTGTGCATCAGATGCGGGCTGCAGGGCCATGGCTCCCGGGACTGCAAGAGGCCTAGGAGTCCTTCTTCGGCTGACGAGCTCCGGCGGGAGGCCATCGCCAAGGTGGCCCGCAGGTCCTCCCCGCGTGTTAGCCCCGACCCCCCGCCCCCGCGGGCGCCGATCCTGCCGCCGGCACCGCCCCCACCACCAACTCTGCGGCAGGCGGACGCCGGCCGGGCGTGGCCACAGCTCGCCCCTCCTCGGCTCCAGGTCACCTTTGACACGGAGGACGGGGCGGCCGGCCTTTGCGTGGTCCGGCGCTCGCAGTCCATGGAGGATCTGGAGCGTCGGCTACGATTTGCCATGGTGGCCTATGTGGGCGGTGCTCGGCGCCGGTTGTCGCCGCAGCGGGTGCATGAAATCTTGGAAGGAAAGCTGGATATCTCGGCGGGCCAAGCCTCAGTTCATCCATATCGGCCGGAAGATTTCTTAGTGGTGTTTGCTTCTGCAGAGATAAGGAACAGAGTGGCGGCATGCCCGTCGGTAGAGTTTCAAGGGGACCGGCTGTTATTCAGGCCATGGAATCGGCAATCGCAAGCGGTCCACTCGGTGATGGGTTTCAAAGTTTGGTTAGTGCTTGAAGGCATCCCGCCCCATGCCTGGGATCGGGCAACAGCAGAGGAGCTGCTGGGATCCTCATGTAAGGTGGATGTTGTGGCGCCGGAGTCTACCTCGCGGGCGGATTTGTCTTCCTTCAAGCTTTCTGCGTGGACGGCCGACCCGGATGAGATCCCTACGATGCGTTGGCTAGCAGTTCCGGAGCCTGGTACTGAGGCTCCGCCGCCATTGTTGCAGTATAAGGTTCTAATCCATGTCAATGCGGTGGCGGACTTCAGGGACGCAGGAGAGCCGCTTTTCCTCGATGGATCGTCGGACAGTGGTCAGAGCGGTATTCCAGACTCAGATGAGGACTTCGGCGGTGAATCAAGGCCGCGCAAGCTTGTGTGGACGTTTGGGGTCCGGGATTCGCGGGGAGGTGGCCAGGGCAGCGGCGCCGCCGGCATTGGGCATGGAGGTTCGGTGCGGAGCCGTGTGGCGTCGGATTGGCGTCTTCCGCCGATGGACCCGGTTTCGGTCGTCAGCAGGAGTGGGCCAGGCAGGCAGGTGTGCGAGAGGCTAACCACTAGGCAATCGGCTTTTAACCGGCTCAACGGCCAACACGACCACTGTGCAGCCGATAAAGGTTTGGTTCAAACCAATTTGAATGGCCAAGGCGCGGCTCAGTCGGGTCAGGTGACAGTTGTGAAGCGGGCCCTCATGGCCTCCACGATTGTGGCAAGTGCGCCGCATCAAGCTGCGGGCCCAGAGAGGGTTCGAGAAGTGCGGCCTGGCATGACTGGATCACCAATCGCATCTCGTGCTGACACGACAGTGGTACCCGCGCGGGATGGATTGGCCAATAATGTATCAGGTGCGTTGGCCCCATCGTCTGTGCTAGCTGGACCTCAGGTGGTGGGATCGGCTGCGCAGCGGATAGCACCAGATCCCGAGGCAGGAGGAGTGGTTGGAGTGGAGAAGAGCGCTTCTGCCGGCACTGGTGGGTCTAATGGTGAACAGGAGATGGAACCCCAGGCGGCGACAGGCCCGGAGCCCGAGGAGGGTGCATTGGATGCGTGCGCCCTGCTGATTGCGGGTGGACCACCTGACGGGAATCATGCGGTGGAGCCCTGCATGGAGGCAGCTGAGATTCCGATGGTGGTACCTGCACCGGAGGAAGAGGCAGGCTATTTGCCTCCAACGCTGGGGGCGACCGCGCACTCGTGCATGCAGATGAACCCCACTCATGCTCGTGCGACACAAGTGCTAGGATCATTGGAGACCCCGGACGTGGGAGGCGACAGGCAAATTGTGCAAGGATCATTGGAGGTTCCGGACGTGGGAGGCGACATGCAAACAATGCAAGGATCTTTGGGGGTACCGGACGTGGAAGGCGACATGCAAACAGTGCAAGGATCATTGGAGACCCCCGACGTGGTGGGAGGCGGCATGCAAACTGTGCAAGGGCTAGATGTGGTGGGAATGAGGCCACAGGAGGTGGTTGCTTTTGACAAACTAAAATGGTTTTGCTCTAGCCTGGTCAAGAAGCTAGCACCACCACTTCTTAAGGAAGTGCAAGCGTCGGGCCTTCGGCCAGAGGCGGAGCCATTTACACCACGACGCACCACGCGCGCAACGAAGCGAGCGCCATAGAGCAAGCAAGGAAAGGCTACTCCAGCTGAGAACGTCCTTATGCATGCGCTCGGGCTGATGCCCCAAGATCTGGAGGTAGACGAGGCAATAGTGGATGAGTTGCAGCAGCTCTTTGACTCCCCTCTGCGTACTCAGCATGTCAGGGTGATCGCCGCGTTATTTGGGAAGGAGTTGCCGACTGGGAGTGAGCTGCACAGCGAGGCGGGACTGTCGGTCGTCGCGCACTAAACGTGCAGCTGGTGCTGGATGTTTGATCCTGTTATGGATTTGAACCCGCATATTTTATGCTGGAATGTGAGGGGCCTTAATTGCCCTGCCAAAAAGAAGGCAGTCCGGGAGTTTGTGACTTCGGTGCAAGTTAACCTAGTGTGTTTGCAAGAAACGAAACTAGATGTAATTGATCCCTTCATAATTATGCAATGTATTGGACCGTCCCTTGACGGCTTTGCTTATCTCCCAGCGCATGAAACTCGTGGTGGTATCCTATTGGCGTGGGATAAAACGGTGATGGACGTTGATAACATAACACTTGACGGCAACTCGCTCACGGGCCTGGTGCACAATAAAGATGGGGCGGTTTGGTGGATCACGGTGGTGTATGGCCCCCAAGGGAATGAGCTAAAAATAAATTTCCTGGAGGAGCTTAGGAGCAGGAGAGCTACTTGCCAGGGACCGTGGATGGTTCTTGGTGACTTCAACATGATCCTACGTGCTTCGGATAAGAATAACACTAACCTCAATAGGACGATGATGAGGAAGTTCCGGGATTTTGTGGATGAGCATGAACTGAAAGAGCTTTACCTACATGGGCGCAACTTTACGTGGAGCAATGAGAGAGATGCACCGGTGATGACTAAAATTGATAGGGTTCTGGTGTCTGTTGACTGGGAGCTGCATTTCTCTGATAGCTTGCTACAAGCTCTATCAACAAATGTGTCAGATCATGCGCCTTTGCAATTGTCCACAAGTGCACAATTCTGTCCTAAAAGGAGATTCCGGTTTGAGATTTTTTGGACTAAGCTTGATGGATTCCTGGAGGCGGTCCAGGAGGCTTGGGTATGCGATGACTCGATCACAGATCCTTTCAAACGACTGGATGCACTTCTCAGGAACATGGCCGTGTTTTCGCAAGCCTGGGGACAGCGAAAAGTTGGTAACATCAAATTGCAAATCGCAGTGGCCAACTATGTGATACTTCGTCTAGACAGAGTCCAAGAGTTCAGAGCTCTATCTCCCGAGGAACTGTGGCTTAGACGTATGCTTAAGTTGGCAGTCCTGGGAT